CTTTGCGATTGACTGTACGACTAGATTTGACAGAAAATCGTAGGTTTTTACAGACTGCTACAGAAAGAGGAGCAAATGGATCGCTGCAATTCACAGAAACGACTGGACTCAGTCAGCGAAAGGTGGATTTGCAGTTATCATTTTGTGTCAATATGGTGTTAAACCATACCCATATATTAAAAACTCATCAATTAAATATTTATCATTGCATTATTGGATGTTTTTTTTAATAAACACTGACCAAAAAAAACAAACTATAAAGTTTTAGGGCTGGACCGGACGATATGATGATATATATAGGCTATAAGTTATATAACACTGATATAAGTGATCACCCGGATTTAGACCGACCTATATTGTATTTATATAAAGCGTTCACAGGCAAATTTGCTTTATGTTTAGGTCTCTATTGCTTTTATTTCCCCCGGTGTCGAAATCAGGCAAACATAAATGTCAGGCAACACGATTCCTGGCCGCATGTCAATATCCATGGATCACTGGATCTTTAGTAAGTTGTAAGGAACACTATATTGAGTCCAACGTTTAGTTTAATTTGATCAAATTTAGTCGCATTTTCGCAGGTTCCTCTATTAAATCCAGTCACGCAGCAGATCTTTTGCCACTCAGTCAGGCGGGAAAGTGACGTCAGTGCATTCCCTCTATAAATAACCTTTATTTTTAAGACTGTAGTATGGATTTAGCAGGATTCGGGGGGATTTTTTTGGGTAAACTTGGGGGAAACATGTACCCCGTTACTCCCACACACTTGTGTGAGTGTGTGAGTTTGTTAGACACTAGGATCTGTCGGGTGTCCATGCCGTAATTCCAGCTGAAACTCAAGACATCTCCCTGTAACTGAAGCTTTTGGCTCCTAATCGGCCCAATCTGATAACCATGAAACCCATTCAGGACCGCTTGAAGAGCTCAGATGTCTCTGGTTCTGTAATTCCTTCTCTCTCTCATAGCTCTGCTCCAGTTTTCCACAGGGTGAGCTCTGATCTGTAATTAGTTTGCTGTAGCTGGGCTGTGGTTTACTCTGCTTACTTTGAACCCCTGAGAAGAGCTGCCCTACCAGCCAGAACAAGAGTAACGTCCTGTCAGACACGGGGCCCTCTCGTAAAGGTAATCGCTGGAAGCGTCATAGAAAATGTAAAAATGCTCAGCAAAAAGAGATAACTTTTGGAGGAAGTGTAGAGGTGCTCTCTCATGGAAAAGTTGCTACCATGATAGCCTAACCCATGGTTATCGAGCTTTTGCTATGCGTTGCTAAGCAGTTGCTAGGGTTTTCTGGGAGGTTGCTTACTGGCCCAAGATAAAAATATGTCTCAGACCCTCATATATTTGCCCATCTGTGGGAGTTTGTACCTGTTTTATTGTGTACCCATGCTTTTTTGTCCAGTCATGTTGAAAAGTAAACACACCTCTCCTCAACAAGCCACATCGTTTGTTTTAAAGTTTGTTCAAATCCCTTATCCAAGTATGATAATAATGTGATGTTTGTCTTAGTACACACCACTAATAAAGATAACTAGGGAGTGTGAGACAGAGAATGAACTTAGAGAAAGAGGTAATGTATATTTTTAGAAGGAGGGGTTTGACTGAATGAGAGTGAGGACAGATTTATAGACGACTATAAAATGAAGCTCTTCTCTGGGTTTAATAGATGATGCCCGTTTAAGACTTCACCTGCCTTTATTTGTTTCCCTATAGAGAGCGAGTGTGTGTGTGTGTTGCTTTATTTTGGCTCAAAATCAGGTAATAAAGGAAAACGTGCTCAGTTTCTTCCTCAATTTACTTTTATGTACGGAGCCCCCCTAGTCCCACTTTGGCAAAAAAAATTAATTATAACTATCTTGTGGCCTCAAGATAGTAACTCGTGGCCTCAAGATACTAACTCGTGGCCTCTAGTAACTCGTGGCCTCAATATACTAACTCGTGGCCTCAATATACTAACTCGTGGCCTCAAGATAGAGTTATATCTTGAGGCCACGAATTAAAAAAAAAAATTATAACTATCTTGTGGCCTCAAGATAGTAACTCGTGGCCTCAAGATAGTAACTCGTGGCCTCAAGATAGTAACTCGTGGCCTCAAGATAGTAACTCGTGGCCTCAAGATACTAACTCGTGGCCTCTAGTAACTCGTGGCCTCAAGATACTAACTCGTGGCCTCAATATACTAACTCGTGGCCTCAAGATAGAGTTATATCTTGAGGCCACGAATTAAAAAAAAAATTATAACTATCTTGTGGCCTCAAGATAGTAACTCGTGGCCTCAAGATAGTAACTCGTGGCCTCAAGATAGTAACTCGTGGCCTCAATATACTAACTCGTGGCCTCAAGATACTATTTTGTGGCCTCAAGATAGTAACTCGTGGCCTCAAGATACTATTTTGTGGCCTCAAGATAGTAACTCGTGGCCTCAAGATACTATTTTGTGGCCTCAAGATAGTAACTCGTGGCCTCAAGATAGAGTTAGTATCTTGAGGCCACGAGATAGTATCTTGAGGCCACAAAATAGTATCTTGAGGCCACGAGTTAGTATATTGAGGCCATGAGATAGTATCTGGAGACCACGAGTAAGTATCTGATGGTGATTTCAAACTCGTGAAAAGTCCTCTCCCTCTCCAGAGTGATGATATTACTACGCCGAGTCGAAGTGCTCATCACTTGCTGTGGTATTCCGCCATACAATTTAGTTATACACTTTACACGCTTTGAAAAGCGCAACGTTTTATTTTGTGTCACCATTCTTGGTCGAGTTACACTGCTTGAGTAACTGTATTTAAATAGGGAAAACGTGGAGGTATTTGGTCGCTTCTCTGCTTGGCCTGTATTGAATGAACTGGGCTAACGTTAACGTTAGAGACGACAGAGGTATGTATCAACTCCTCTTAGTTTAGGGAATAACTTAGTTTAATATGAAAAACGGTGGAGCATCCCTTTAAGTAATTGTGAGATTTATGGTTAAGTTGCAATTTTATAAAGTAGTACATCCAATATCTTACTACATACTACTTACCCTTCACTAGCATGTGATGAACACAAAACAAGAGTTGGGACACTCTCAGAAGTCTTCCATTAGAATCCGTTGGCCACAAACCACTAAAAACAGCCAATGCTGGTGATTCAATTTGTTCTTAAGTTTGTTCAAATCCCTAATCTAACTATGATAATAATGTGATGTTTTTCTTAGTATGCACCACTTATAAAGAACATGTAGGAGTGTGAGACAGAGGGCGAACTGTGGGAGAAAGAGGTTTAGATAATATTAGGAGGAGGGGTTTGACTGAATGACTGTCAAGTATATACTTGCTCTTCACAAAACAAGAATTGGGACACTCTCTGAAATCTTCCATAAGAATATATTGGTTTAGAGTTCTTCCACAAACCACCAGAAACTAGCCAATGCTGTTTACCAGCTATGAATAGGTGTATCAACATGATGCACTAACACATCAACCGCTTTTTCCTGACACTTCCCCGCTTTGACGCACACAGATGATGGTGTTTGTGTAAATGATCTGGCCTGGTATCGGTGTGATTGTGTAGCTTTCATATTTCAGTTTTACCTATGCTTTTTCTGAAACAAAAAAAAACAAAACGTAATTGATCAAGTGATATGAAAGAAGAAGAAAAAATGAAAAGATCAGGAGAGGAGAAATGATTTAAGGGGCGGCAGGAAGTGCACACTCATGAACTGTGGCTTCTCTCCTCACATTGCCCTCTCTGTCCCCAAAGAGGAACTCAAAGCATTCATTTATTTTTATGATATTTCAACAAACAAATAATAAAAATAAATCAATTTAAACCCCAAACGTCTACACGTATATTTAGGGGCCCTTCATTCATCTAGTGGTCACCAATCTCACCAGGTCAATATTTGGCGAGCTAATTTTGAGAATTTGTCCTCTCTTTTGTGAAAGGGAATGTGTGAATGCAGTAATCTTTACCATTACCCTGTTCATCTTTCTTCTAGTTTTTTTTTTTTCATTTGCATATTTGACATATGACAATTAAGAACAATTCACTCCCAAATTCTCACGATCATAATGCATACTTTTAACTTTTAAAATATCATTTAAATTCTTTACTGAGATAAAGAAATAGTGTTTGACTATTCATGTGATCTCAACATGGTGGCCACATTTACATAGAGTAAAACTGATTTACTCAGTTTTCAGAAAAAAATCTGTATTTATTTTTAACACAAACTAATTTTCTTTTATTAGATATGTGACAAGATATTTTTTTAGAATATATATTTTTTTATCTACTTTTGATACTTTTAATAGATATGTGACAAGATATGAAAAAATAAATTAATGTCTTTGTCAACAAGTGATAGAAATCTTTTGTAACTTTATAAATGTCTGGACTGTTTTAAATAAATCCATTGAACTTTCTATTCATCAAAGAATCCTGAAACAACAAAAGTATTTAGTAGCAAAAAAACACAGTTTTCTACATTGATAACAATAAGAACCATTGTAAATAATTGAGAACCAATAATAATTGATCAAATAATTGGCAAAATTAGCATATTAGAATGATTTCTGAAGGATCATGTGACACTGAAGACTGAAAATTCAACCTTGTATCACAGGAATAAATTACATTTTAAAACACAGTTTTGTTGTTTTTAGAAGAAGTCTGTTACACACACTACAACCCCATACACACACACACATCCACTTATCCTCTTTTCAAAAGTCTTTTTCCATTAATTATTTTTTTGTTGTTGTTGTTTTTTTTAGACTGAATGAAAGTGAGGACAGATTGATAGACGACTATAAAATGAAGCTCTTCTCTGAGTTTAATAAATTTTGCCCATTTTAGACATCACCTGCCTTTATTTATTTCCCTAAAGAGAGTGCGTGTGTGTTGCTTTATTTTGGCTCAAATCAGGTAATAAAGGAAACAACAACAAAAAACTCTATGGAGACTAAAAAGGTTTTGGTCATTTATGGTTTGGTCATTCTTTCTCTTTTTTTGTCTCTTAGATTGTTCCACAGATTGGTGTGACGCTGGACAGTTTGGGTTTTGACTCCGAGATGCAGGCCCTGTACATGGCCGTGAGCTCGGGGGAAACGGGTCGGAAACGCAAACGCTCTCCTTACAGCAGCCCTGCAGCAGAAGACACCCACGTCGCTGAACATCACGCACCTGATCACCTACCAATCGCAGGTTCACAGACACTAAGCACTCAGACACAAAAGGAATCATTCCATCCAAACCCATATGCCTGTCTCTTCTGTGGAACACAATTGGCTTTATGCACAGCTGCACTACTTCCTGAACTTAAGCCAGCTCCTTGTTTCCTGTCTGCCATTATTGGACAAATTGATTAATCCAGGTGTGCCTGACCTCAGTAGTCATGGCAACAATAATCAGACACACCTGAATTAATCAAGTTCAGCCAATAATTGCAGACAGGAAAAAAGGAGATGGCTTAAGTTCAGGAAGTAGTGCAGCTGTGTATAAAACCAATTGGAAATGAATTGCAGAATGTCCTGGCTGCGCTGGAATGGGAGTTGTTACGCTTCAACATTACTCACAGAGAATTGGCACCCGTTGACATGTTAGGTGAAGTGTAACATTAGTGGTATTAAATATCTAGTGACCAAACATTATGAATATTACGACTTTTACTACTGCTATTATATGACGTAAGTCATTCAGACTTCCTTTTTCAAAATAGTAGTCCACAATGTAATATACTAATGAATACAACTCTGGGTTGTCGAGAGCCTGTAGACTGCTTTTTGGGTAAGGACTCGGGCTGGATTCACTGGGGAAAAAAGGCAAAGGATGTGATGGTTATGCACGCTCCTAAGAGCCTTTCTACCGATGTATGACAGAAGGTGCTTAATACAGGATAATAGCTATTTTTTGTAATATTGGAGCCCTTTTGTCTACTTTTGTGTTCCACAGATGAAAGGTTACATTGGTTTTGAACAACACGAGGGTGAATAAATGATGACGTGGTGTTTGTCTTGTTTGCTGTGCAGGTGTGGCGTCTTCACTGGCTTCTCAAGAACAGAATAATGTCAAAGGATCATCAGGAAGACCTCTGGTGGCAGATAGTAAACAGGTTTGGTCTTTTTCCCCTCTGCCATGTGTTAGTTGTTTCTATCGTTTTACTTATTCTTTTCAAAATTAACAAAATAAATATTCGATTCATTCTATCGGAGAAAATTTTAGTGGCTCCTTCGGCTGACTTGTTCAACTCTTCATTGTACAGTGAACCCAACATTGCTGAGCCTTAGGCCGTGTGTCCACCAAAGCGTTTTTCCACGCGCCTGGCGCATGTTTTCAATTGTTTTCAATGGGAGCGCCGCGTTTTTTAAACGCCATGAGCGTACCGAGGCGCTGAGCGTTTTTTTCACGCTGAAGCGCCGAGCGCCCAGCGTTTTTTACTGGTCGCTGGGAGTTGAAAAATGTTCAACTTTGGATAAAACGCAGCGCTCATCACTGTCACTTTTTACCCAGCCGTCCAATCACAGTGGAGGAGGGGCGGGATTAATACCACACCGACCAACTGTCACAACATTCAAACTGCTGCGGATATTCTGTATCATAGCAACGAAACGTCCCAACGGAAAAACGCTGCGCTGCCAAAACGCTCTCAAGCGCCCAAAGCACGGCGTCTTCAGCAGAGCGTCTAGAGTTTTCAGCTGGCTAAAAATCCTTTGGTGGACACACGGCCTTAGGCTGGTAAAGTTTGACAACTATGTTTGTTTTTAGAGGCTCTGGAAATTCAACAAAAAAGGCCTGTGTTCTTACAGGCTACAAAATGTTACTCCCCTTGATATGATTAAAGAAAAATGTAAAGTCAACTTTAAATTAAGATCAAACTGAACTTATGTACAAAAATGCACCTACAGTGGATGTCTATGGGGCAGCCATTGCATGCTTTCCCTGTAGACTTGGCGATCAAAAGAATAATGCGAGAGGTTCAAGTTGAAATTATAAGTGGTTTCCCTGAATATTCCTTGAAGGGAACTAAATCCAATTCTAAATGATTCCTTCAGACTGTTCCTTCAACTGCTGCTGGTTCTGAGGAACGCTCCAACTCCTCACGGATGAAGAAGAAGAAAGCAGTTGGGCTTTTTCGGTGACAATTCATCCCTCTGAATCAAATGCCACCACATATGGACACTTTTATTTTCTTAATTCTTTTATAAACATTTTTATTCTTCTTAGGTTGGATTTGTAACTGATTTTGGACATTTTAATGTTGGTTTTTATTCTCTATGCCCATCTTAAAGTTGTTTGTGTGTTAAAAGTACTGAATAAACTATTGCTTTCCTTAATGCAAGCTCTGTAGGTCGTTAATGTACTCTCAGGCTCAGATGTCACTTCCAAAAAATGGCAGAAGAAAGTCATCGTGTTTACCACTGAGACAATGACCGCTTATCAGGTTTAACTAAATGCTGGATTTTCAAAGGTATTGAGTTTTTAAAAGACGTCCAAGAGTTTTGCCAGTTTGTCGCGCCGTTCTGTGATTGTAGGGATCTCGACTTACTGACTGAACAAAACGAACTGTGATTGGTTGCTTTACATGTTAGTCAGGCAGCCTTTTGGGCGGTCCTTGGCCAATGACAGCTGCTATGGAGTCCAGACCTTCTGCCTACGTGAGACTAGGGTTGATGTCATAGACATATACACTAGACATCACCTTGGGGTTCTAAGCATGCATCAAAACCGCCGCCATCTTGGAACAGGGGTGTTGTCCTATGACTTTGACGCTTGCTTAGAACCCCAAGGTGATGTCTAGTGTATATGTAGGCAGAAGGTCTGGACTTCAAATTAATTGATGGTAGCTGACTTTTGTGCTGTGTATGCAACACTATCTCATGACCAATTCGTCGACGAATTCGACGAATGATTAAAAAGTGTCTAATTCGTACGACCTCACTCGTATGAATTTGTACGATTTGTCTAAACCCACGTGATGGTTAGGTTTGGGGCGGGGTAAGGGGTATGAATTCATACGAGTTGGCCAATTCGTAAAATATGTACGATTTAGCAAAATCGTACTAATTCGTACGAGTGAGGTCGTATGAATTGTTAGGATTTAGCCACTTTTTAATCATTCGTCGAATTCGCACGACTTGGTCGTGAGATCGGGTTGGTGTATAAAGTTCACATGAATGAAATCTGAACTAGGAAGAATTATTATTAATTTTTTTCTGGAATCAATGATAAACACATGTCTGACCATTGTAACGAACCAAAAAAAACTAGAAAATCGCATTCATGATGATTTATGGTGATTTTATTTCCGTTAGACCTTTGTCTACTACATTGACGCTGATGTATTAAAGTGGAGGGCTCCCCTGTTCCAAGATGGTGGCTCTATTGACGCATTCGTTCTAATGAACTGCCGTAGCAAAGGTGACATCTAGTATACATATCTATGGGTTGATGTCAGCAGCAGATGAAATATGTACTGTAATGCGCAAGATGTGTTTTGCGAATTTCGAGTTCGAATATGAGTGGCTAACTTAATGCAGTAGAAAGACAAGATGCACAGGTTTTTATCAGTCTGTTTGGGGGAACAACATTGGCTACGTTTACACACACAACTTTTGTTTCAATCGGACTGAAATCAACGCTAAACATGTGGTCTGATTGATCTGTGCATTTATGTCACACAAGCTGTTGATTTTTTGACATGCACACACAGCACAAATATACAATTTCACGCTGTTTGTGCACAATAACCATTCTCCTACATTGGTTCTTTATATGGTTTAAAACCCTCAATAATGACCCGAAGCGTTTAAATAAAAAAATGTTAAAAATCGTAGCTTCCTCGGAATGGTCCGAAACTTGGTGACTTTAATGGTACTTGGTATATGAACACCCAAAAAAATTGGGGACAGGATTTGAAAAGTCTAAGTGGTCGTAAAAAAAATAGTCACACTCAGGACCTTCGGGTCAAAAATGACCCGCATAGGAAATGAATGGGAAATTGGCAAAAATGTGAAAATACTGAGTTTTTTTGTGCCTACAATCTACAAATCAGCAAAGATCTTGAAAAAAAGCACAATAGTGAAGGGATGCATCTATAAAACATCAAGAGTGCAAAACAGACACATCCACACACACACACACACAAACACACCTTTATACACAAACACTCCAAAAAATTCAGATTATACATGTGTTTTGCATTTTTAAAAAGCTCAGTTTGTCCACGAGATGGCATCCATCTAATTTAAAAAAATTGCTTTTATGAGGCCTAGGCTTGACTCCAAAATGAAATACAGCTTTAAAAAAAAAAAAAAATGTTTTTTTTTAAAATATTTTTTTTCTATTATATTCAATAGGGGAAAATTTGGTCATAATTATTGCATTAATACAAATTATAATTTTTTTATTTTTGAAATTTTCTCAAAACACCAAAAAAGAAAAGAAAAAAAATATTATAAAAAACAAGTAAAAAAAAAAAATGGACCCGAAGGTCCCGAGTGTGACTGTTAAACGAAGAACCCCAGAGAGTTAAACAGCAGACTTAATATTTATCAATTTCTGCTCATAATTTGGAGACAATGAGCATATAAACCATTGTGCTGTACTGCTTGTATTTTATCGCAGAGTAAAAATGCCCATGGGTCGTCTGTGGGTGAGAATCCGAAACAAGGGTTTCACACGCTGAAAGTCACACACGCTGAATAAAAAGGAGAATTTTGGAATCACGGGACACTCGTTTATATGACACTTTATTCGACAGGAAGAACAGCTCATCATTACGCTATTTCTACGTCATTACACATGCACAGTCCTTTCAGTTTCGGTTTCATGTTCTCTCGATCGGATTAGAAGAGGAATAAACCACCCCTTTCAATCCGATCGAAAATTCATCGATTAAGATGTTTACTTGAAGGCATTTCAGACCGATTGAGCCGTCAGTACGATTACTAATGAATTATCTGGTTGCATGTAAACATTGTGTTTTACAGGGTACCGACTGCTACAACTAATGCTTCAAATAAAGAAGACAAGACAAGAAAGTCACTGGATTTGGCAAGGTTTGTGGCATTAGATGTTCAGACTTTAGTTTGAGGTCCTTACTAGGAAGTAAATGGGATATCCTTGAGCACAAATGTATGTTCTGCTTCATTTTCCCGGTCATGTTCCATAAAATCATCTGGAAATTCTGACCACAAACCCAACATGCATTTTCCTCTATTTTCTTTGGGTTTGTCTGTGCCTTTGTTTTGAATAAGCTACCACTTTGTTTCACGCCGTTCTATTATCTTAGTCTTGTTCATTTATCCATCCCTAAACATGACATGTAAAGCCAATTGTGGTTACTTGTTTTACCTGTTAGCCAGATGCATCGTAATCTGTGAAGTGGACCAGACAGCATGCCAATAGTACAGTCTCTGCAAGACTACTTTAAGACCTGCTGAATTGAATATGAAGTACAAAATGCTTTAAATCTAGTTGTAGACTGACACAAGATACGTTTTACTGTATTTTTGCTGTCCACAGATTATTTTCTGATGCCTGGCCAAAATACTCTCTAATTAAAATGTATTCAGCAATACCAGTAACATCTTCGAGCTGTCAACAGTGTGGTCACAGCAACCAGCAAAAAAAATGTCTACGCCACTGAAGGAGACACAGCACTGTCATAATTTTCCTACCAGTGTCATTTGGTTTTAGTTCTGGCGTTTAACTGGTGATTCGTCTTCAGTGGAGAAGCCATTAGAGTTATTTTAAAGACATTAGAGTTCCTGGGAAGGATGGCTCACCATGTCTAGTCTCCAGTGTCTGTCAGTAAAACTAATATTGACCACCAATCACTGCACTTGTCATGGAGACTATTTATCTATTTTCTGGTGATGTTCTGCTTGTGTGAGAAGGTTATCATCATCATTATTATTATTAATAAAACATGTTTTAGCTAGCATTCTACAGTACTTTTTTTTTCTTTATTAAAAATGTGTATAAATATGGATTTATTATTAGTGGGACATCAGGTAAATGTCTTTTAAACATCAGGAACTAATTGAAAGCAAGTCGATTCATAATTAATAATTGCCACAATGATCTTTCTCATGCTGAGAGGTAGGGCTCTTGTTCTGATTGATTACGATCATTAAACACTGCTATTGTGAGCTAACGTGTCCATATTTCTGGCAGCCTCATTGGAGTGCTATAGCACAGATCCATACGGTAGCTTATGTGTTGTCCTTGTGATGGTGATTGGTTCTACATGACTTTTAACAAAATCATGGTGGTCTAAGCTGATTTAGATGATTGATCAGCTAGACTTAAAAAGTGAAGTAACCTGGTTGGCTTAAACATCATTGAAATGGAAAAATTGAGTTAAAACAATGAATGAGATTGATTTAATCATCAGAAACTGAAAATATTATGTTATCTGAACTACATCATTTATTTAAGTTGATTTGTCAAAAGAAAAAATGTTGTGATTACATATCATGTTTTTTTACATGAAGTTTTAGTGTATAAACCACTGTTCCTCTTTTGCTGATGATCTATCCCACTTTAACTTAAGTGTCCTGACACAAATCTCCACATTAAAAAAAATATTTTCAAGATTTGTTTTCACAACATTTTTTCTTTTGTCAAATCAACTTAAATAATTTATTTAGTTGAGAACTTATTATTTTGAGTTTCTGATGATTAACTCAATCTCCTTCATTGTATTAACTCGCTTTTTCCAGTTCAATGAACTTAAAATTTTAAGGCAACCAGGTTACTTACTTTAAGTTAAACCAACAATATTTTTTTACAGTGTACCAAAAACTTCCCACTTTTTCATAGTCCACCTTGACCAAATCAGTTTACAAAAAAAATAAAATAATAATAATAGAATTAAATGGGCAACTGACCATTTAATTTTTTATAAGTAAAAGTGGAAAAATAGAAGTTTGATATAAATTGAGTTACTCATATAATTAAATTATTTGTTAACTAATTGGCCATATAAAAGATTGAGTGAAGAATTATAGGTGTGCGTGTGCGTGCGTGTGTGTGTGTGTTTGTTTAAGCACACGTGTAGTACTGACGTACCGGTGACAGGCAGTAGAGGATTGCTGCTCAGGTTCAAAAGACTGGACACATCAGGGTCCGAGAGTCCAGACTTGTAATGCGCCTGCAGTTTGTCTCGCGTCTTGGCAGCCGCCGGTTGCGGTGCAGGGGGAGAGCAGCAGCAGCAGCAGGGCTGATAAAGAGGAGGGCAGAGACAGACAGAGGGCAGGACTGGCAGGGTGCGGCTGCTTCAGTAGCATCTGAGCTCGGGTCACTTCCATTTCTATCTCAACTGAGAGCCGCGCGCCACTGTGCAGTAGTCAAACAGCCGAGCCGGGAGCCAGAAACCGCTGCGGGGACGCGCACTCTGACCGCGACTCAGCGCAACCAGGGCCCGCCTGCAGGCGACTCTCAACGCGCGTGCCAAGATAAACGGAACTTCTCTATTTATTCCCCCTGTCTCCGCGTGGACCGAGAGAAAGCGAGTTTTACAGACCTGAGAGGAGGACTGACGAGCTGGCACCATCCTCTCCGTCAACCAACTGCCTGAGGAACCCAACGTCTGCCGGAGTCTCTTTCCGTGCGTAAAAGGATGGTGAGCGCCAGGTGTCCTAATAGACTGGTCCTCCTCCCCCTCCGGTGATCTTGCGCGGGGACTGAAGCTGAGATTTGGGGGAGGAGGGTCGCTTTACCATCATCTTCACCATCTTTGACACTCCATCTTTTGGAGTGCCCGCTGGCACCGGTTGGCATGAGACTCTCCACAGCAGCGGCGCTCCTCACCGGCTTCATCTTGGCTTTCTCGCCTGCGTACGACAGCTGTGGACCGGGCAGAGGTTACGGCAAGAGACGAACTACAAGGAAACTCACGCCTCTCGCCTACAAGCAGTTCAGTCCAAACGTTGCCGAAAAAACGCTGGGAGCCAGTGGGAGATATGAGGGGAAGATCACTCGCAGCTCCGATCGCTTTAAGGAGCTGACGCCCAACTACAACCCTGACATTATTTTCAAGGATGAGGAGAACACAGGTGCGGACCGCATGATGACGCAGGTGAGGCAGACGCACGCGGTCCATGAAAAGGTCTGAGGGCAGTTCGCTCGGCTACTTGACCGACCGTTTATCACTCAGTTGAGATTTTTATCCAAAAGGACTGAAAGGGATTGTTCTCCCAAAAATTGTAATTCTGTCTTCATTACTCACCCTTATCATCTTTGAAACACAAGTTGAGTTATATTTGATAAAATCCGAGAGCTTTCTGTAGCTAGCCTATATGCAACTGCCACTTCAACAAGTTAAAGAGATCATAGAACTAAGCCATATGAATTGAGTGGTTTAGTCCAAAATTTCTCAAGTAATGTGATTGCTTTATATGATGAACATATTTAAATTAGGCTTTTATCCACAAATAAACATTCGTCAACTCACACATCAGTTGTGGTAAAGAGAAGCTCAACTTCAAGTAGTTCGCTTGACACATCACGTTTGAACTTAAGCAAGAACCAATGAGGTTTGTTCTCGTACATCAAGCATATTTGTTTGTGCTTCTGATTATGTTCCATGGTTCAAGTTTAAATGAACTTATTTATGAACTTTTTGAAGCGTCAAAGTGGTAGTTGCGTAGCTGTCAATGGAGACTACAGAAAGCTTTCTGATTTCCCCAAAAATATCTTAATTTGTGTTCCGAAGACGATCGAAAGTCTTACAGGTTTGGAATGACATGAGGGTGAGCAATTAATGACAGAATTTTTATTTTTGGGTGACCTATCCATTTGACTTGTGGTTAAAGAGAACATTGAACTCTTTACTCTCCCTCAGGTCATTCCAAACTTGCGACTTAGGCTACTATCTTCTGTGGAAGATAAAAGAGATATTTTGAAAAGTGTCTTTTTTTTTTTTTTTTAATCTTTTCTAGAAGTCAAACGTAACCAAAACTATTTGGTTACAGACATTTTTAAAAACAGTTTTGTGTTCCGCAGAAGAAAGAATTAAAGTTTCAGAGAAGCACCTGTGAATAAATGAGGACCAATGCTGATTTTGGTATGATGTGTGAACTATCCCTTTAAGCATTTTTATCAATGAGACTGGAGGTGGTTCATGGAAGAATCATGTTTGAGCCTACAGCCTTCCTACACCACCCTCTGCCTCTTTGCAGTTGTTTACTATTACTATACTATTTAATATAGTAAAGATCCATAGCATTGGTTCAGGGTACATCATAGGTTAAAAATGGCAGTGGGCATCAGAAAAAGGTAGTTCTCTTGAGATGATTCAGAGAATATGTTAAATGTCTGCAAATTATTAGTTTAAACTTTCATCCAAAGTGACTTCACTTACAGTATAATGCCTGGGTCAACAATTGATGAAGGGTCTTTACTATCAGGGAGGTTTGAACCTAAGTTTACAGCCCAGATCTTTCACAGACAGCACTATTTCTGTGCTATTTCTTCAGTGTCCTTTCTTCTATGCGCAATAAATCAGGGTACTACTGTCCTATCCTCAAACGGTTGTGGACTTCAATAAAGGCGTGGAGTTTGTTTTTAAAAGTTGACAAAAATGCTTGAACGAATTCTGAGGATGTGTTCAAGAAAGACTTTCATTCGAAGTGACTTATTACAGGGACAGACCCTCTAGAACAGCATGGTTTGCTCTGTTGAGTTTATGACTGTGGTTTGTACCTTCAACCCTTCAGTTACCAGGCCAGATATTTTGAGACTGCGCTACATCACCCGTATAGTCACTAATCAATGGCCTTTTTGAGGACCCTTTCCTCAAGTCACTTTTCTTTTACTACTGTCTCATAGGTGAAAAATGGTGGTGGAATGTATGTGGGGATAGAGACCACAGTTTTTTTTCCTTGGGTTCATTCAAGGTCTCAGGTCTTTCAGTCTTCACAACAGAGAATATGGGGGCAGGTTTCGTCAAATTAAAGACACAGTAGTCGTCAGGTTATTTTATAACCACATATTTGAACTTTCTCCCACGGGGCTCTCGCTCAATTTATGTGAAAGAATGAACGCAAAAAGGGGTGACTGTCAATAAAATGGAAAGGAAACCTGAAACGTTTAATTAAAACAGTGCCGTAGCTGTTTTAAGCACGATTGGAAAAGAAAACATTAAAACTGCCCTTGTAGATTGAGCATGACCTGTGACTGTTTTAATGTTTATCCGTATGCTTAAACACGACCGCTCTTGATTAACGACATACACCCCCCTTTTTGAAGCGTCAGATATTTTTTACGACGTTGATGTGGTCCCGAGTGGAATTTATTTGACTCCAATCTCCCCCTCACCTAAAAGTATTTATATCAGCTCCTTTCCTCTGAATGCCCACACGTTAATGTCCACGAGAGCCACGTGGGAACTGAGGAGGGGCTCATAGATCTCACCCCGTCTTTACCTGTCACCTCTCCGGCGAGCGCCGCGTTCGTTTACCTGACCTTCAGGCGATTTATGAGGGCCAAACTGCGGCGACGGCTGGAGACAACCTCTGGTCTGTTTTTCCTTTTTATTCTGTGTATTTTTTTTGTTTGTTTTCGTAGCGTACGTGTGTAAAAATAGTCGGCTCCTCGTGCATTTAA